TGGTGCTTGCTTGTAACAGCTGTCAAGGCTCTGAGGTTGGACATTTATGTGAGAAGAACTCACAGCAATGAGCAGAAAACAAAGTTCACCTCACAGGGGCGCTCACCTCTGCATGTTGGACCCAAAACACCAAAGTAAATAAACGAACAAAAAAAACCAGTGCCCATTTCTGACACCAGTGTAAGATCCATCTTCCTCTCACCTAGCAGACTAAAGGGCCACTCTGGGCAACAGAGTCTGACTCTTGAGCCCAGACCCTGGACCCCAACCCTGTTTAGGGGAAACGGCCTCAGGCTGGTAACCCAGAAGATGCAGTTCCTGTCCGCCATGGTCCCTGACCTTATCCCACAGCTGCACAGCCACCTATAGCCTTTAATCATTTGACTTCTAATGGATTCTTTAAGGTAAGGGCACTTCTGTGTTACCACACATCCTGTCAACTTTCTAGGAAAAGTCCTCAAGTGTCAAAGACCTTTTAAAAAAATTATCTTCATAATCTCCAATTTTCATAAAAATTATAAAATTAAAACAAAAACTCTCTCACACACACACACACACCCCCCAAGAATTGTTGATTATTCTTCTTTTGCACAGCCTGCTTCGTGTCCGTCCTCTCCCTATGTGCATGTCTAAATGGGTGCATTATCTGTCCTGCCCATTAAAGAAGACACTGGAATGACCTGTCTATATGCAGCCCGACCACCTCCGCCAACACACACTATCCATTTCCAAGCACGCCACATCTTTTCTGAATGTTAGGTGTGTGAAACAGTGTTATCTCCATGTTACAGGCAGGAGAGTGAGGCACAGGTCCTACCACATAAGCCATTGATATCTAAGACCCTAGTATAAAGAAAACAGACTCTGCAATGCACATAGTCTTCCAGACTGTGGGATAACTCTTAATCAAAGTGGTGGGGTGTGGGGAGCAGGTATCTGGGTGTTAAATCTTAAACTGTAGCTTGGGCAGGAATCGTGAGTGAGAAGGTGGGCTGGGGCCAGGACTTCTTGCCACGGTTACTTTCAAGCCTCCTCGTCAGACAGCTGCGGTGGAGGAAAGGGAAGCCAGGTGGGTCAAGCACTGCCTTCTTTGGCTGCCCTTCTGCAAAAGCCTGGTCTGGTCTTCATCTGGAGCCAAGGGCCTGCCGCACAGAGCAGCTGCATGTGTGAATGATGAACGAGTTAGTCCAGAGAGCCGAGTTCTGGCTCTGTCTTCATGGCACAGGGTGTTCAAACCCTGAGACGGCATGTAAAATGGGGTGTCTGCACAGCATCCAATGAGATGAAATGCTGAAGGTACCCACTGTAATGATCAGTAAGACTCCAGGACAGTCATATCAAACACATCTGCCCAGAGCTTCTCAGGAAACTGAGCCAGTAAATGGAAATGGGAGAGGAAGCCGGGGTGCCCAGACATCCAAAAAGGAGCACTGTAGATGTAAACATAAACACACACGCACACACAGAAAACACACACCCCACATATTTATATAACACACAAACACCCCACAAGCATACATACATGAATCACCACACAAATATCCACATTCTCACAGAACACTCCACATATATGAGCACATACATATGTTTGCACAAGTCTCAATGCAAACACAAACACTTTATCCATAGCATATCACATCTATACACATCAGTACACCACTCACACGCACAGAATATGGTATACCCTACACACATAATGCATATACATACACATACCACACACATATTTATATATATATATATCCTCACACATAACAGACCACATACATACCACACATATGTACATTTGTACCTTCACAGTGACACACATAACACCACAAACAACACATTTTCACAGAGCCCTGCAGATATACATACTACACATATACTACAAATACAATGGGCATACTACATGAACACACTTTGAACATAGCTCACACTCAAACAGACAACACACTATGCATGCCACAAATATACAGCAACATGCCACATACAAGCACATACCTCTACATAACATACTACAGTCACACAAATACCAAATATACACATGCACATAGCTCTAATCATTCACATCACAGGTAATACACACAAGTGAATTCACATACATACACAGACCACACATATATGCACACAAATAAATGTATGCACCCACACATTCACATACACACATAAGGTAAATGTTTCACAGGTTACACATTTACATGCATATTTATAAACAAAGAACACATATGCAAGCATATGCCCCGCATTTATACACACATCACAAACCACACATGCAATGCACTCTCAGATGCACATATTCTACATATTCACACATCCCAGACAGCTGTGCATACACACCACTCACAGAGGCTTGCATCTCAGCACACCTTAAGCTTGTCAGTCTCTCTTTGATAATCCCCTTGGGGCTAGAGATCTTCAGTGAGTGAGCAGCTGCATGCTTCTCTTACAGATGAACATGCCAATCTCTGTAAATCCCCAAACACTGTCGTACAGGATAAGGAGAGAGGGACAGGAGAAGGTGGGCTCTCTTTCTAGAAATGAACAAGGACAATCTGCATTACTCAGGTAAGACTGAGTTGAAAAAAAATGAGTAAAGGCACAAGTGCATGATCTTGGCAGTGCTGGAAACAATTATTAAGATCATGCGAGCATGAGCAGAATGTCAATAGATACGTGAGCTCCTGATAGCAGAAGGGGCACATGTGTTTGTGTGTGGTTCATGTTCATGTACATGTGGATATGCACATGCATGTGTATGTGTGTGTATACTCAAGAATAGCCTGAACAAGTGCTGCATGTGTGCGTTCATGTATACATATGCATAACTGCACAAAGATGTGAGCATGTGTACACACATATGTATGTATGTGTTCAAGGAAATCACAAGAACACAGGGGAATGTTTAACTCATGAACTTCCTTCTTCCTGCACAGTTGAGGTTATTCAGTAAATACCCCCAAGAGATTTTTTAAGAGCTAAGGACAGGGTGCCCTAAGAGGGCACAGAGGTTCAACCTCCCAGACAGATGCTGTTCTAAGCCTCAGAATCCCTAAACAGGGGCAGAGCTGCCTGTCTTGCCTGGGCATAGCCTGGTGGTCAACCTAGCACGGGAGAAATGCGTCAAACTTGACCCTTACAGCATCAGGGCTTCATGAGGTCTGCACAAAGCACAGGCTCCCCCAGCTTCCCGCCATCCCTTCCCTGAATCCCGGCGTTCCTGTCAAATTAAAGAAGAAAGAACCACTCACCCGCCTGAAAGCCAGCCAATACGGTGATTATTCCAGTTTTCCTGGAATGAGCCTTCCACACTCTGGCTGGCTGAAGCCATCGGCAGCCAGGGTTCCCACCTCTCCAAGCTGCTCTCACACCCTCTGCAGCTCCCCAAGATGCTTTCAAGTAAGTCAGCACTATGTGCAATCTTGCAATCACAATTACACTTGGGAGCATCCACTAAGCAAGGACTCGGGTGGGAGGAGGCAGGGCTGGAGGACGGCACTCAGGGTCTACCTGGGATACAAGCAGTTGGCGGTGGATCCTGCCTCTCCTTCTGAGCTCAGCTCTGGCTGTCCTTTCTGGGTTTGCCAAGTGAATGATCTGAATGGGTGCTTGTCTGTCCTGGGGGAGCATGAAAGACTCCAAGACAGAAGAACCTTGCTGTGACAGCAGCAGTGGCGGTGGCAGTACTGGACCAGCCTCCCACAGAAGCTAAGCGCAGAGATGAGAAAGAAGCTGTTCTTGAGGGCTTGCCTTTACGTGTCACATCATATTTTCCATTCTCAGACAAACAAAACAAAACCAGCACACGGCCTCCCCAGCACCAACAGCTCGTAAACCCATCAGAATTCACAGCCAGTCAACAACCCCAGACATGGGTAATGCCATTAGGAAGCCTGCACAGCACCAGATGCCAGGAGGGTCTTGGTGAGTACAGAGCCTGGAAGCTCTGCTGAGCCTGCAGACACACAACCTCCTTGTCCTGCCCATCAGGGTTGTTTTACTGCTCGGAAGGAGGCACTAGAAACATAGTCTATGGTAGCTCTCTTGCAGTTTTAAAGAAAGGGGTCATAGGAGAGATAGACCCAACCACAAAGCTACGCAGGCCTTGAGCTGCTGTCGAGGTCCTGATGTCATTATTAAAGCAATCTGTCGGGGAGAATGTAGAATCAAAAACAAAGCAATCATGTGGCCATGGCCTGATTTATCAACACGATCTTGAGTCTGCTATCCTCTATTAGTTTGGCGAGCTAACGTGTGTCTCACCCTAGGCCTCATACCACCTGACAACTCAGGACCACACCTGAATGCTCAACACCTCTTCAGGCAGTCTCCTGAGCTGGGTACCACTTTCAGGGTTGGATATGGATTCCCTGATACCACACCAAACTTTGATGTTCCCCATGAGTCAGACAGGGCCACTTGATATGTGCTTTTCTATTTAAAGATCAGACAGGGCTTACACACAGACACCATTCAAGCCTGTAGCTTCTAAGAACTGGGTGCTAAATCCGGTATCTTCGGCCCTCACTTTCCATCAACACAGAAGATGTTCTTGTTGACAACCAAGGATTTTTTTTTTCCACTGCCAGCTGCACAGGAAGGAGGGGCCATGGGGGAGCTGCCTGTCCCCTGGGCTGAGCTATGGAGGGGTCAACACCACCAACTCCTCTGAATGCCTTTCCTCAGGGTGGGAAGAGGTGGAGAATGCTCACCCACCATTCTTAGAATCCCATTTGAAACCAGCTGTGCTGGGTGGCAGTTCCAAGGCACCAGGGTATGTGAAGATGGACACAGGACATACCCACAGGACCAGTCCACCTGAAGTCAGCTGGGAGATGAGTCTCCTGACATCATCCTCTTGAAATCATGGTGGAGGGATAAACATCCCCACACCGAGTGCCCATTTTCCTAGGATTAAGGACTAGTCAGTTAGAAAGCCAGGCAGCCTGTAGGCAGAGCTCTGCCCGCTGGGGGGCACGTGAGCATCTCTAGATTTCCTTCTTTCCTTGGTGCGACCACGCTCTAAGAAAGCAGGCTGTTGGTGCTCTAGCAATCACTGGCAAAACGGGAAGTGCAGCAGCGCACCATCTCTGACCCCCAGAGGAAGACAGGAGCTGGGCTACTCAGGAGAGGGACTGTGTACCCCAACTCTGCTCTGACAGGCAGTGCTCCGGCAGGCCAGGCCAGGCCTCTCCCTACAGCTCTCCCTCTATCCCAGCTTTTCGGAGAGAAAGTAAACAGACCCTTGACCAGATGGAGCCTTCCTCGCTAATAAATCTAGCCTAAAGCTGAGACATGTTCAAGAAGAAGCAGAAAATTACCTTTCAGGAAGCCAATGTGAGGTAAGGGAGGGGGGTACAAAGTACCAGGGCTGGAGCCTCGCGCAGCAGGAGCTGGCTGGGGCCCCTCTCAGCAGCCCCATCCTGTAGACTCTGCTGGCTGCCCATGTGCAGGTCTCAGAGAGCCGCCCCCAGCCTGCAGTGCTATAGGCGGCTCATGCCTGGAAGTGCCAGCACACAGTCCCCTGGCTGTATGAGGAGCCACCAGGCAGGGACAACGGAGGCAAAAGGAAGGCAAGCAGGAGAGGAAGGGGTGGGGAGTGGAGCGGGAGGGCGGGAAGGAGGGAGAATTGATTCTCTCTCCTCCACTGGGACCACTGAGCTAAGTTGCCATGGAGAAAGGGGAGCCGCTGGCAGAGCTCGAGGCGGGCGGAGGAGCCATATGCCAGGGGAAGGCGTCAGCAGAGCCAATCCCACAGTTCTGCTGTGGCAACCTCCCCAAACAGGCCTTGGCCTGCGCACCAAGGCAGGGTGGGGCATGGCTGGACGGTGGGCAAAAACAGTCCTCCACTACCGTAACCCTGAAGAAAAGAGCAGCCCAGAAAGCTTTCCCCCTCTCTCAGGTTGCTTATCTACCCTTCAGCTGGGACCCTGGACTTGCCGCTTCTTCACGCCACTAACCTCATGCAGCTTACTCAGAACCCAAGGTCAAAGTCCCAGGAACAGAGACCCAGTCCCCTCCCCAGGATTTTAAGAAGCATTGCCTCTCTATCCTTGCCTCCTGTTTCTAAAATTCAGCCACCAAAGCCTGAGTCATAGTTTCCCACCCTCAAGAAGGAGGGGATGCCCACCCACAGGAAGGCTTCTGTGGCCCAGAGCCACCCAGGCAGGAAGCCAAGATGGGAGGTTGCTGGGCACCTGCTGGTTAAAGAAGGGACCATAGCATGGGCACCCTGGACCAGGCCTACTTTAGGCTGTACCTCCCACCTGCATACTACCAACCTTACAACTGCTGTGCAAACCTCCATGCACATGGCTTTGCCCCCAGCCCCACGCAGGCTCTGTGCTGCAGAGGTGACTGGGGGAGTGCAGGAGACCGGGTTGGAGTCTCTTTCCCCCTTTGGAGCTCACAGAGCCATCGCAAGTCTGGTCACATCTCTGTGCTTTCATTTCCTTGGTACAAACTGAGACAAGACCATTTTCTCTTCCAAGCTATATTTCTGGGGGCACCGTGACGCTGGCAGACTTAGGAAAGGCTGAGGCTGTGGACACTGTGTCCCTTCCTGCTCCATTTGGAAGCATGGGGGCAGCATCCAATGCTCTGTCTCCCCTTGAGCACTTGGCTGGCAAACCTTAAGTCAGAGCCTGGAGCAAACAGCAGTGCTCCCACACCTGCTGCTCTTGAGGGAACATCTGAGGGCTACTATTCCCAACTTGCCTCTGAAACCTGCAGCCTAGGAAATATTTTTTTTCTTCCTAGCTCCCCCAACAATAATTTGTTATGAAAATGCCCCTGCATATGAATAAGTCAGAAAAATGTTATAAAGAGCACATACACATATTCACTGCCCAGATTCCTACCTTGTCCTCTCACTTTTCTACTGTAAAATACACACAACACATAATTGCCCATTCTCATCAATTTAGAGCGTGCACTTCAGTGGCATGAAGAATATCCACAATGTGGTAAAGCCACCACCTCTATCTAGCTGCCCAGATCTGCATCACCTGAAAGGAGACACATGGGAGAGCCACTCCCTGACCACCAACTAATCAACTGTCCAGACATGCTTGCCTTGGGTGTTTCATGCAAATGAAATTACAAAGTGCATGCAACCTTTTGGGACTGCCTTCTTTCACTTAACATGTTCTCAAAGTTAATGCAATGTCATACCCTATGCAGGCTGCTTTGTTCCCTCACGGCAGAGTAACATTCTCATGTTAGGCCTCATTGTACGTATCTACACATCACAGGATGGACATGTGGGTTATTTCTACATGTGAGTTTTCCTCTTATTCCTCCACCGCCTCCCAGAACCCAAGGAAGTGTTCTGGGCACTTCATCTCCAAGCCCCAAGAGACCCTAAATGGAATGTTTAGTCACCTGTCTTTCCAATAAGCAAAGCTCACCCATGTCTGATATGGGGATAAAGGCAGAAGACTCCAAGTAGCCTTAGTTTCTTCTGTCCCAGGGAAGCTGCCAGCTGAGCAAAAGGACTCACAAGTACCCCCACTTCATGCCTTTTCTGACCAATGAAACTAGGTTCCAATGGCACCAGCATTCCTGGCTGTAAACTGGTGAGTGTTCCCCTCTTTAGCCTCTCAGGTCTCTATCTTATGGCATTGCTCCAGAGACAAGGTTGCTGCCTAATGCAACACTGTATGGAGATGACCACACTCTATCCCTGCACCAGCCAGGGTAGTCATTGCTATCCCACAGGTCTAAGTGGCCACTGAGACTCAAAATGTGGCTAGTATCAGTGGGAGATGGAACCTTTCATTTGGCTTCACATTTATTTATAAATGAAATTAAAGATTCACATGGAGCTATGATGATTGCCAAGGACAGGCCAACTGTAAAGGTAGAAGAAACAAATGGCCTAGCTCCTCAACCTCTGCCTTTTCCCTTCCTCTCTCTACTTACCTCAGCTGCCTGGGTGTGGGGATCCGTCTGTCTGCAGCCTGGCTCAGGGGCTATCTAGAAGGACAGCGGGTATGCGGTGGGGCTCTCAGGGAAGCAGACAGACAGAAGCTGGGGAGTAGGCTCCTTAAACTCCATAATGACAAGGGTCTCTGAACCTCTGACCTGGATCCTCCTCTCTGCCCTGTTCTAGAACCACTGCCTTCCCTCGTCACCCCCAGCAACTCCTGAGGTCATCTCCGGAATGTCTTCGAGACTGGAACTTTTCTACCATTTCCATGCAGTGGCAGAACCCCATGTGGTTATGCAGAGTACAACCCTGGTTCCAGGCTAGGCTGAAGGTCAGTTGCTCAGCGAGACCACTCCCCCGCCCCCAGTAGCTGCTCCCAGTGCATAGATGGCCTCACATGATCCCAGACCACACTCTGAATCTGCCTTTTCCTTCTGTGGATGCATAAGGACACACTCAGAAAGTGAAGTGACTTTCCCAGGCTTAGCGAGCAAGGCTGGGCCCGGGCCCAAGGCAAAGATGAGAAACAAAAGTAGAGACGTTGCTCTCCTGTCCCCAGTCACTGGAACCTGCCTAGCATATGTGGGACGACAGTAATTTGGCCATGAAGACTGCAACAAATGGGGCAAATTTAAACATAGCCACAGCTAGCCTCAATCTCTGTGGTTTCCACATCCAGAGAGTCAGCCGACTACAGGCTGAAATGAAAATATTGAGGAAAAAGAATCCTGCCTGTACCGAGCATGTAAAGAACTCTTTCTTGCCGTTACTCTCTGAATGGTGTCACTGTGGGACGGCTCTTTGTGGAAATGGTGCAGTGTGGAAGTTCCTCACACAGCTTTACGGAGTGCTCGGCACTACAGATAACATAGAGAGGTGGGTAAGGTGTCCAGGAGGACACACGCAGGTCACATGCAGTACTCTGCCTTCTACAGAAGGGGCTGGTACACTCTGGTAGAACCAAGGCCTTCAGACACTGAGGGCGACTGTTGTCTTATCCTGAGCTGGCAGGTGCTGCTGAGGACAGGTCTGTTTCCTTCCTGCAAAGCTTTCCTTTGCCTCCAAGCTTCCCATGCTCCTGAAGCAGAAGGCCCAGGGGACTCACCACAAACCTGTAGGGACATCTTGCCTCCCACAACTCAAAACCCCAAGTGGCCTCCCTGCCTTATCCCTGCTATCCAGACTGGGGTCCACCTCCTCCCACAGGGCACTTACGCTGGCACGGCCTCCTCCTGTTAGCCTTTGCCCAAGTCCATTTTACTCGAGTGTTAACCCTAACTCCTGTCCTGGCACTCCCTTAATCCTCTCGTTTTCTCATAATACCAATCCTTACCTAACATACAATGTACTATTTGCTGTTTTTGTTTTCCAAATGGAGGTAAATATAAACATTTGTAATCCTGATAGCTCATAAGTGCTTTGTTCAGCGGCGTTGAGAACATTAACATGGCTATGCAGCCCTCACCACTAGCTCTATAACCTTTTCATCTCCTAAACCAAACCAACAGTCATACACACTAACTCCTCTCCCACCCCACGCTGGTACTCTACATTTTACTTCTGTCTCTATGACTCTGACTCTAGTGACCACTTGGCAGCATCGTTACAGCATGGAATTACACCACTGTCCTTCTATGCTTGACTTCTTTCACTTAGCAATCCACCCGTGCTGCAGCATGTTCCTTTCTCAAACTGTCATGCTGGGCAGGGTAGCACAGGTTTTTGTTCTCAGTACTTGGGATTTAACCTAGTAGGTGGATCTCTGTTAGTTAGACACCAGACTAGTGTACAGATAAAGTTCCAGGACAGCCAGGACTACACAGAGAAACTCTGTCTCAAAAAACCAAAACCAACCAAATTAAAAAAAAAAAAACAAAAAAACAACTGTCTACCTCACTTACTAGAATGAAGGCTTCTAGGCGGTTGTATTCATAGTTATATCCCAGGGTATATGCGTAAGAATACCTGGTACACAACAGGCACTGAGCAAATGTTCTGAACGAATGAATAATGGGTGAATACTCAGGCAGAGGGATGAAGGAATGGACAGACAGGTGAATGGGAAATGGATGGACAGCAGGATGACTGAATGAACAACAGGTAGGAACTGCAAGTTAGTACTTCATTTCACAGGTCTCGGCCAGGCCCAGCGGTGGATGCAGACTTAATTCCTGGTCCTACCCAATGACATAGCCACTTGCCCTGAAGCCCAAGCCCACCACCCTTAAGGTGTAGCCATATTTAGTGTGGCAGGACTCTCCCCCAAATTTCACTATGGCTCTTCTCATATGGTTACCCCCTTTAGGGTATTCTTCTCAGTTGTGGCATATCCAGGGAGAACTTTCTAGAGAACTAAGAATTCCTAATTATAGTGTTTGTTTTGTTTCTGAAACAGGGTCTCACCGTGTAGCCCTGGCTGGCCTAGAACTCCTATCCCTGCTTCGTGGATGCTAGGATTAAAGTCTTGTGCCATGATGCAGGACTCCCAGCCACCATCTAAAGATGCCTAGGAGACTCAGGCAGCAGCCACCAGTACAGAGAGAGGCAGAAAAGAGAGTGGGAGGCCAGGAAGTGCCTGGAACACACATCCCACCCAAGGAGCAGCCTGTGGAGGGTAGGCTGAGGGCTGGCCCTTCAGTCCGCTCTGCAGTGGGGCCCACACTCATGGTGGCAGTTCGCCTCTCACCTTCTCTACATCCTGCCTAGCTATTCACATCCATCCTCTCTCTCAAAACTACTTTACCCATTTCTTTTTTCTGAGCTGGACAGATTTGTAAATTGAAGTCAAGAGGACCCCACCTTCGAATCCAGGAGGCTTCACAATATGACCATACTTGCCTGGGCCTGCCTGCACCCCTTGTCTTGGATGGGGTCCTCAGGGTCTGTCAGGTGTGTGGTGCCCCCAGGGAGGAGGCGCCCATGCCACATCCCAGGCAGACCTCAACTTGGGGATCCTATAAAGCCCAGGGGTCACCTCAAAGTTACTCTCTGCTCTAGGAAAAATGAACACTGGCAGTAGAGGACAGCTGTACCTTTAAATGATCTGGCCCACAGATAGGAAAAACATTTGCACTCCGTGGCTGTTTGCATCTTTGGTTATTTTTAGGGTGAACCCAGTTGCCTCCCCTTGGAACCAGATGAAGCCCCAGAGGAGGCACGTAGTCCTTTTTCCCAGATGGGGGGTCCTGCTCCTGCTTCCCTGGGAATGAAGTCTTGAACACAGGCTATCTGGGGGAACCGCCCCCCAGAATTACACAATGCATTCCACTCAGGCTCACTTGAGGGATCTAGGCACCAAAAGCAGCTTTGCTACTACTGTGAAAATTTGCTGTCAACATCAGGGACACCTACCTGCACCCTGAGAGCCCCTTGCCACTCCCGGAGTCTGAAGGGAAGAAGATGTGATGCAATCCCCTACCTCCAACCAGCAGTCCCAGCTGATGGGAATGTCTGGCTGGCGTATTTCTAGAACAAGCGGCAATTAGAGGCGATCTTCTCTCCTGCCCCCCCTCCCCAAAACAGAAATAAATCAGTGCTACCAATCTCCCAGCTAATGATTTCCTCCATTAAATTAAAAAGAAGAAGAAAATGTTTTTTAAAATGGATTACCAGCCCTGTGCTTTCAGAGACCACATGACCTGTCAGCTTCTCTCAAGTCCGGATGCATCAAGGCCCCTCGATTAATTTTTAATAAATAAGACAATCACAGTGTAAGAATCACCACCAGCCCCCCCCCCTTCACACTGGAACACAGGGCTGGCCCTTAGCTGACTCAGGCCACAGAGAACTCTTTCCATTTCACAAATGAGAAGCAAGGCAGGGATGAGCAGCACTTAAGCACTCACCCCAGGATGCTATGGAGCACAACAAGCTGTGGGAGCATGGAGTGTGGGGCAGGTGCTCCTATCTAGAACCCAGAGCTGAGGAGCCCAAGCAGAGACAGTGGGAGTCACTGCCTCCTACTGAGTACAGATGGAGGGACTTCACCTTCTCATCTCCTTCCTGCATCGCTAATGACACTGCTCAGACACCCTGCTTGTTTCAAAATGTCTGCTCCAACAACATCAACGGGCCCAGAAAACATGTTGCCTGGTGGTAGAAGCCAAATTCAAAAGGCCACATGTCCTGTGAGCCACTCATGTGGCTTGTCCAGCAGAAGGATATCCACAGACAGCATAGTATGGGAAGGAACAGCACTTATTAATGGGTAGAGTATCTGTTGGAAAGATAAAAATATTCTGAAAAGCTGGGCAGTGGTGGTGCATAACCAGCACTTAGGAGGTAGAGGCAGGCAGATCTCTGAATTCAAAGCCAGTCGAGTCTACAGAGCAAGTTCCAGGACAGGTTTTAACGCTACACAGAGAAACCCTGTCTCAAAAAATAAACAAACAAACAAAAATCTGAAAGCAGGCCGAGTAAGTAATACCAAATGGCATGGTGAATACAGTCCATGTGACTGATCTGTGTGCTTACAAATGACCAGCGGAGGGGCTGGAGAGATGGCTCAGAGGTTAAAAGCCTGCTCTCCCAAAGGTCCTGAGTTCAATTCCCAGCAACCACACGGTGGCTCACAACCATCTGTAATGAGATCTGGTGCCCTTTTCTGGCCTTCAGGCATACAAGCAGACAGAATATTGTATACATAATAAATAAATATTTTTAAAAAATCTGTTCTAAAAAAAAACCCTGTAAAAAACAAATGACCAGCATGGAAAAGTTTACAATATGTGTAAAAATGTCTTGTAAAAATACAAGACAACAGAAGGCCACTTTTCAAATGCCATTTGGAAATACAAAAGTGCCAGCCACTCCATGGTGACTATTGCAGGCCCCTCTCATACCTTGTGTTGCCCAGTGTCCCTGGGCCAAGGTTCCCTGTTTCGTTGATAGCTTATGGCATACCAAATGCCAGAGGGCAGGCAGGGCTGTGAAGCCCCAGGGAACACCTTCTCTGGAAGGGATGGAGGGGCCTTTGCACTGGCCATCTCTTCTCTCTGGAATGCATAGCCCCAGATGTTACATAATTTTCTTCTTTTGTTTATTTGTATTTTTACAGAGAGTTCCTCTCTGACCATCTACAGTCAGAGAGAGGCAGGGAAGATCACTGGGGCCAGGGAACCACGAGCAAGGACAGGAGACCCAGAGCCTAGTCTGCTCATGATAAGCACCCAGCCCCATGGCTCTTTCTGGTTGGAGGAAAGCCATTCTGAGCTGACTGCCAAGGGCTGGCACGGCTGTGAACCAGCTAGAGAGCCCTGGCAAGTTCCGCCATCCCTCTGAGGCTTGGGCTCCCTTCTACACTGATGAGGAGTTCCTAGTACATATCTCTCAGGTTTTTTCGTGGACTGCATAAATGACGCACAAACAGTGTTCAGCATATGGCAGGGCCCTGGTCAAGTCATAAACGGTAAGGACAAATGGATTATTATCATAATCTCCCCATCACGCAGGAATGTTCTTCTTAAGAGGATCAGGGCAGCCATTCCAGAAAGCTCAAGAAGGCCACCATGTAACACTAATCACTCAAGGGTGGCCAGGCGCAGGGGCCACCCTGAGCCACACTACTAAGGCTCACAACATTCATGAACAGATTTGACCATTTGCTCTACAATTTACATGTGTAGAAACCAAATTGCAAAGAGGTTAGTAATTTGCCCCCAGATCACACAGCTAGGAGGTGATGAAGCAGGATTTAAACTCTGCTCCACTCCTCCAGGCTCAAGCTGATCAATGTTGTTCCATAGCATATATCAGAAGAAGCAAAGGAGGTACAGAGGAGCCTGGAGCAGGCAGAGGCTGACCCCAACTGCTTCCACAGCCCTGACATAGGGACTGCATGAACCTCGGGAAGCCTGAGGGAAAGGTCTCAGTGCACATCTCCTGGGAACCCCACAGGATGGCGGGACAGGCCTGGTGCATCTTGAGTCTCCCCAGGGTCAGGACTGAGAGCTCCATACTGCACTTCCCTAGTCTAGCAGTTTAGGTTAATACAGCATACAGTTAACTCCCTCAGAACCAGGATAGGGTGCTAAGGGACGATCTCCACACTCCTGGCTTATGAGGTCTTCCAAGACCCCAGAGAACCACAGACATGGGGGTCTTTCACATAGGTGGAAGATTCCATGTGCACAGCAGGAGGGGAAGCTGCTTCCAACTTGGTGGGATGGTGCTAGACTCCCCTCCAAGCGAGTCCCTAGGAATACTAGAAACTGCCAGCTGGCGATTTATATGCCGCTACAAACAGAACTTCTAAGTGGGTCCTGCTAACCTTTTGCTCCAGAGGCCCACGGTGAGCAAGTTAAGATACAGACGTACAGGAAATGATGTCACTGTCTCAAAAGCCTCCCAGGCCCCCCTTCACATTTAGAATCATTCCAAAGTCTTCACCATGACCTTAG